GCAAATACACAAGAATCCCAAGATCAACCCACTAGGAATCGAACCTAAGACCTTCCGCCAAAGAGGCAGAACACTTAACCAATCGGAAAAGAGAGTTGGGATGAAAGTGAAGCCCCTTAAGGGACATTTCACCCCACCCTAGCATGGTATGTATTTTTTAGAAGTACATCCATGACCCGGTGTACCCAGACTCAACTCAACCGAGGCCCTTCAGCCACCTATCCGACCTCAACCAAGCCACGACAAGGGCGTCTTACAGGCTCTGCGCGCTTTCAAATACACAAGAATCCCAAGATCAACCCACTAGGAATTGAACCTAAGACCTTCCGCCAAAGAGGCAGAACACTTAACCAATCGGAAAAGTGAGCTGGTATGGAAATGAAGCCCCTTAAGGGACATTTCACCCCACCCCAGCATGTTATGTATTTTTTAGAAGTACATCCATGACCCGGTGTACCTAGACTCAACTCAACCCAGGCCTTTCGGCCACCTGTCAGATCTCAACCAAGCCACGGCAAGGGCATCTGACAGGCTCTGCGCGCTTGCAAATACACAAGAATCCCAAGATCAACCCACTAGGAATCGAACCTAACACCTTCCGCCAAAGAGGCAGAACACTTAACCAATTGGAAAAGTGAGCTGGGATGAAAGTGAAGCGCCTTAAGGGACATTTCACCCCACCCCAGCATGGTATGTATTTTTTAGAAGTACATCCATGACCCGGTGTACCCAGACTCAACTCAACCCAGGCCTTTCGGCCACCTGTCAGACCTCAACCAAGCCACGACAAGGGCGTCTGACAGGCTCTGCGCGCTTTCAAATACACAAGAATCCCAAGATCAACCCGCTAGGAATCGAACCTAAGACCTTCCGCCAAAGAGACAGAACACTTAACCAATCAGAAAAGTGAGCTGGGATGAAAGTGAAGCCCCTTAAGGGACATTTCACCCCACCCCAGCATGGTATGTATTTTTAGAAGTACAGCTATGACCCGGTGTACCCAGACTCAACTCAACCCAGGCCTTTCGGCCACCTGTCAGACCTCAACCAAGCCACGACAAGGGCGTTTGACAGGCTCTGCGCGCTTGCAAATACACAAGAATCCCAAGGTGTACGTCTTTATGGGAGCGGCAGTCTAGCCGCAATTGTCCAGTAGCATCGCCATGTAGAAATTGGCAACCTCATCGTTGAGCTCCCCGTATCCATCCATGAGTGTGATGATGTCCTTGACCGAGACCTGTAAATTGTGTGACGGCAAACGCGCAGCGATGAAAGTGAGAGGCAACCGAGAGCGGATAACGTCCTGAGGGACTGCTCTTCCATCTGGAGGAAACCCTGTTCAACAAACACCCGCAACACACATCAAGCACAACGGACGGAGGACTATGAGAAAACGCGGCCCTAGCAACCAGGGTCCGACGAACTGCCACTCTGCGGCCCAAACATTTCATGCATAACGACACCGCTACTTCTGGACCTTCTTTACACATTTGGTTCTAAACTAGCACTGTCCTTCTTTATATCCTTGCAAACTTCGATAAGGATTTCCTTGCAGTCCTTCTCAGCAACACCCGCTGCCTCTGCAACGAGTTTCGCGCGCGGACGTACTATGGGCACAACCACCAGTTCGGGAGGCTTCAGAGGCTTCCTGTCCCCATAAAACTTGAAGGAATCGGTGACATCGCCAAGTCCAGTGCCTCCCACAACCAGGACTGACAACTTCGAGGGGGCAGTCGGTTCCTGCAACATGTGTGTTTGTCCACGAGTTCGTTGACATGTACAAGAAATAGCACACCATGTTCGACTACAATAAGCGTCGGTGAAGACATCCACCGATAGCGTTCAACTGGCGGCTAAGAACACAACTCCGCAAGAGTAACGAAGCAAACAACACTTCATGAACCCCAGTGGTAACGTTTAGTTGGCGGCTGTCAATACAACTCCCCTGAAGCAACAAAGCAAACAACACTTCACGAAGTCATGATTACGAGCGGGAAGCAAGCTGAGAAATCCAGTGCTTACCAGGCTTAGCTTCCACGTCAGCGGAGTCCACCGATGGTAGTCCCAGCACGATTGCCGAACCTCTGCGCGTCGACGTCGTGATGATGTGCTCCAAACCACTTGAAAAACTTGATAGGTTGGAGATGTCGGCATCGACGATCAGCGACGGCATAAATTCCTCCCGATGGCGCAAATCCTCCACGTCCGCGACGGACAAATTCATTCCGCTCTTCTCCGGACTAAGAGCGCCAATGTCCACAACATTGACAGGTTGTGTTTTCTCCATTGCCCCAGCGTCGTATTGTGCCGTGCTCAAGGTACCACGGATGCGGAACAACACTTCCTCCCCCCTTAACTTGTTGTCCTCGTGCGCTGTATTTTTGTCGTCGTCACTTGAGTAGAACAATTTATCTTCAACAACGTCAGAGGCCGTTTTCACAATATCCTCTCCCATAGCCACATCGTAAAGGCCGGAGTACAAGGGGTCCTCGTAACCCGGCTCGAGTCGTTGGTCCAAGTCGACGGCCCGCATCTCATTTCCAGAAGTGTCACGGGGCATGCTCACGTTGTCGGGTTCGGGATCAGTCCGGTCATCGGCGGGGTGCAGTGGCGAGGACCCGTCCACTTTGTCGAAAGCAGTGACATGTCCACAACCCTCGACGCCTGCCAGTTCGAATCCAGCGTCGGTCTGCTTCGGATGCATCCGGATTACGGTCGTCTCCAAAGCATCATCATCGAGGGACATGCTCACATCGCCCGGGATCGGATTTCATCCGTGCCCCGACAGAGTCCGATGGCGCGGACGTGTCCGCTTTCACCGCAGAGTCGCTCAAGACCGTCAACGAAGCGCGCACCGTAACCGAGCATTCGTCTCCCCGTGTGCGGGAGTGGACGCTGGAATTGGGTGCTAACTCACCCGCAAGGGAGCCCATGGCATTGTCTCGAACACCGACTACGAAAGACGGACAGTCTGCCTGCAGCTCCCTGTGGATTTCCATGCACAACATAACGGCGTCCTTACACCGATCGACTGGCACTGTAGACACATCCTCCTGATTCGGAAGAATCCGAATTTCGCCGGCAGGGTGTTCGGAAACCCGGACCGTCCATTCGGGTTCCGTGGACCGTTGTGCTCTCTTGACGATATGGGCCTCCAGGTTCGGATTAATCCGAACTTCCTGATGTGTTCCGGACATCGACGTCGTTACCGTGGTTCGGATTGATCCGAGACAATCCGCCAATTGAGTCTGGAGCTGAGCTGGGCTGGTGCCATCCTTCACAACAACTGACACGCCAACCTTATCGATAAAATGTGTCGCACTGGTGGAGCTTATGACAGAGTCCTGCTCGCCAGCCCGCGGCATCCACCCAGGCCTAAAGTCGTTTCCCGTGTCCATCGAGGTGCTGCAAGTTACCGCCAATGTCGCACCGTCCTCATCGTCGTCGACGTCGGACCCCTGCCCGTCTCCTCTGCGATGCTTTGTCTTCTCTCTGCTGCGAGGCTTTTTTTTCTCTCCGCTGCCTTTTTTCCCCTCTCCGCCGCCTTCGCGCCCCGCAGACCCCTGGCTCATCGAGCCCTGTTCAGCCCCCCCCCCGGTTCCGCGTTGACCGCCACCCTGACCATCCCCTTCGTCGTCCTTTCCACGAGACTTGCGCACCACAACTCCAGACGTCGGGGTGATCGCAGGCAACTCCCAACTCACTTGATTTAATGACGGGCTCAACGGAAGGCTGTAGAACATGGAGGATACTTCCAACCATTTATTTGACTGCAATAAATCGAACAACGTGTCCGCGTATGTCCGCAGAGCAGGGTCGTCTTTGCGTCGTCGATTGACCTCAGCCAATTTCTCCAATACCGCCTCGTAGGCTCGAGATTTGAAAGTGTCACGGTCCCAACGATCGTCATATTCCCAACCTCCACTCATGTCCCTCACGGCCACTGCCCAGTCACTGTCGAGAAGGACTGGCTGGAAATGGTCAGGGTGCCACATGATATCATGGCCCCAATGTTCGGCTTTGGAGAACGTGTGTTGGTCGCCCATGTGGTAGGGCTGTGCAGGAGCCGAGAGATGTGGATGGTTAGGAGGAACTGGTCGGCCGGGTAAAAGACGTTCGGGGTGCAGTGTGAGACGTAGTGTCTCCACCGACGAAGTCCTCAGACGGGACAACCCACCCCTCTTGACAGTCGCTGAGGAGGACATGGGTGTGGGACCACCTGAGGTGGGTGTAGCGAGCGGTGTCCCCGGTTTGCCTACTGAGGGCGACTCAGAAACGACGTGGGCGTTGAAGATGGCTAATTGGTCGTCGAAATCGATGAGGTCGTCCTCAACGCTCTCCTCCTACTCAGTCTCGATATTATAGTCATCGTCCTCACCAAATGCCAGCCTGTAGTTGTCCAATGTGAAGTCGGCTGGATCGACCACACCCTCATCGAAAAAGACATATTCCAACCTCTTCATGAACCCCACTGGGCTGGTATGACTGGCCCCGTGGTAGCCCTGGAGGACTGCAATGGCGACTTCCTTTCGCATCACGAACTGCCCGTCTACTCTCCACTTCGGTTGATGGCCGAAAAGAAAGGAGTACACCTGGCGCCTTTTCTTCGAAGTCAACTCGAAGAACATGTCCTTATTCGGGTCATATACGGGCTCGACGACATGGTCGAAATCACACGCGTAAGCCCCGGACTGGACTCCATGGTGAACAAATTGCACGGTATATTCGAGCTACGTTGAGTCCCCCTCCAAGACCAAGACGTGCCTTCCCTGGTGAAGCAGATTCCACACCACCTGCGTGCAGATTGCCCAAGAACAGCACAGCATCCGCCACACCACAGAAGAAAAGAAGTTGACTGCATAACTGATTAGGATTCCTCTCGAATTCCTTGTACACAACCCCCCTCTGGGTGAGGTTCCCAAAGTCCGCGAAATGCAAGGACTTGAAAGGCTTCTCCTCCACATCCATGGGTGTGACTTTCTGCTTCCTCCGAAGAGCGGCGACATCGTCTTCGGAAACAGTTCCCTCGTACACCGGATGAGTCAGCAGCTGTGGATCGTCGCCTTTGAAAAGGATGAGCATAACATCCGGCTCCTTCCACATGCTGTTTCCGAACTGATGTGTCTTCTTCACTGGCGTCTTGTGAACCCACTTCCCCGTGTAGCATCGGGTAGCCCCAAGCGCACACAAAGATGTCATGAAGGAGAGGTTCCACGGGCAGGGAACGAATACCACCAATGTCCAGTAGTCCTGACAAACGATGCCCAGGAACTCACTGAGAGACGCGAATGCTCCAGAATCCCAGCGCGATCGATCCACAGTTCCGCACAAGTCCAGCACGAAAGTGTGGGAGCGCAACTGATGGCCCAGTTTTCCCAGCACGTCCTTATGGTCCATAGCATTCAATGGGTCGACCACGAACGGGGCCAGCGTCATCCCGGCGCTTGTCCTCCTCCACAAAATGTTGATGCATTCATCAACGCCCCGAAGGCCTTTTTTGGTTTGTGCGCGGTCTCAAGTGATCACCGATAGCACCACACGTTTCCACTCCGCCGGGAAATGCGGGTCGTTAACGAGGGCAACGGTTTTCTTGACGTTGCTGTCATGTTGACACCCTAGATACTGAGGGCACTTGTTGACGTAGGTGTTGTCGTTGAAGAACTTTCTGCTCTCGTTCCAAAGCTTTTCGTCGAGACCTTTGTCTGCGTACTACTCCAACAATTGTCGCTTGGACCTGAAGAACGAGGATTTGACATTCCACTCCTCCTTCTCCATTTCCTCGTACTCGAGCTCCACGTAGTGCCATAGCCTCAACATAATCCGGTCGATTTTTATTATGTCGACCATCTCCTTCACACGGTACTTCCCCTGCTCGGCCAACTTCTTGCTACTCGATTGAACCCACACGACGGTAAGGTTCAAGACGCCGTTTAACAACCTTCTCTTCTCGCGGTCCGTCAAGTCTGCCAATTCCTTCCGGCAGTGGACATCCGGCTCAAGAACTTGGACGTAGTAAGTTTTCTCCTCCGCGCCCTTCTTTGGCTTCCCTTTCCCCTTTTTGAACGACGGGTCGTCCACCTTAACGTACCAGACGTGTTTTTTGACTCCCTGGCTGTTAGTCACATTGCAAAGTCCTGGCTTGGCCACCTCCTCATGGGTCGGCGGTTTTTCAGTCCAACGTCGCCCGTCAGAAGCCAGAAGTTTTCCTTTTGACCACTCGTCGTAGAACTTTTCCGCCAACACGAAGACCGACTCGTCAGCCATGGCCAGTGGGAGATAGTACCGAAGTTTCTCGGCCCATTCCTTTTTCTTTTTTTCTTCCGTTGACAGGCCCCACGAAGGGGTGTACGGTGTCTTTTTCATAGCCAAGGCCATGAACTGAGTCCATCTACGCACCTCCTCCTTTTTCTTGGATGCATTGCCGAGCACGACACGCGGTCTCCCCTTAATTTTCAAGATATTACGAATGTCACGCATGGATAAAATCTGCAACCTCGGTGAATTCTTCTTGTCTTTCAGGTTGTCTTTGCAGCTGACATTGGCGTAGCCGTCGAATTCGTCGTTTGGGAAGTAAATTGGTCTGAATGGCCATTCACAAAAGTTGTAGTAACTGAACACCGCATGGTCTTTCACCTTCATCGCCGCCCTCGCATTATGTTGACCACACACAGGATAATACCAGTACTTCTCGGGGTGCGAGGCGTCGAAGTCTTGAGGCAGCACGCACACAGCAGGTTTGTCTTTCTCTGGTGGTGCGATGATCGGAGCCAGAACGGAAATCGGCTTTGTATATCTCATGTCTTTACGTTCGTAGCAGTCGATCATAGCCGTCGCGATGGTGTCCACGAGGAACGCGTCCAAGGATCGATGGTTGTACGCGTCTTCCCAGTCTTGAATATGCAATATTTTTTCGGGATGAACGTGCAACACGACGTTCCTCTGCAACCCCGTTTTCATCTCCAGGAAGAACGCTTTGTCGAGGTTAAATGTGTTCAGGTTAATCTCCACCTCGTGGTCCCAATCCCCGGTGTCGCCCTCATCTGGTTTCCTCTCCTTTGTCGACTTCAACCTCTTCCCGGAAGACTCAACGGTTCTTCGTCGTGTCGACGGCTCTTTGGGCGTATCATCTCCACCGCCAACCCTTTTCCTCTTCTCAACGGAGTCGTCCGACATGCTCACTGTCAGATCAGGAGGCGTACCTGGTAGTCCACCCTCCCCTCCCACCCCTCCGCCAAAACTGTCTCTTCGCGCGAACCCAGCAGGACGATGTATCGATGTCCCAGGGAAGCCGCCCAAACCTCGAGGAAGTCTTTCATGTGAACGGCTTCGTCGTGGCCTGGCGACAAAAGGACAAAGAAGGGCAAAGCCATCGCACCCTCGTCGTACCCCCGGAACTTTCTCCCAGCAACCATGCATCCTTTTGCGAGTTCGTCGACGGAACCATCACTTCTGTAAAGCTTCCGCAAGGTAAACTTTAAAATGTCGTCGCCTTCGTTGGCGTACTCAACGATGGACCCTGCGAGGCGCGTCGTATCACCGCGACCGGCGACAAACAAGACTGGCCCTCATCGTCCTTTTGTCGGGATGGAGGCATCCTGGCATGCCCAGTCCAAATACCAGACACGCTTGCTGTAGTCGCACCACAAGTTTCGGGACCCTAGTTGTTCCACCCCACCGACACCACCCCGACTCGTCGCCATGATTGGTGTCCACGTCGTCCTTCGAGGCTCCTCCCCATGCGGGGCGGAACCACCAGCGGAGTGGGTTCCTCCGTGAGCAGCCTTTCCCTGAAACACGCGAAGCAAGCGGGAACACATCCACTCAGGACACTCAGCACACACAAGACGGAGTGATCGAAAACTCGAGCACGTCCTAACATCAGCGTCGACCCATAGCACCTACGAAGACCACCATCCAACAACACCATAAGAACGAGAAGTGCAGTGATTGTTCAATGTCAATGGACCACTCGCCTGATCACGACGGATGGGAACTGCCAGCTTCGGATGAATCCCAAACAAGGAAAAGGAAAGAAATCACCAGAGAGAAAGTCCGGACAATTTATCTCGTCATCATCACACTTCCCTGAAGAGAACGTAAGGTCGCACACGAAAAGAGAACGTAAGGTCGCACACGAACACAAATCGTCGGAGGAACGTTCTCCCGGCTGATTGACGGCGAAAAGGCACAACGGCAAAACGCGAGACGTCTGGAGGAAATTTTGTCTATGCTAGAAATCTACAATCATATCTATTCATTCAGAACGATGGACGATTGTTCCGGAACCAAAGTCACGGCAGAAGGACGTCGTCGTGAGGTCCGGATGCATCCGCGATCGACAGAGGCATGCAGTGGCAGAGTGGAATTACGTAAGCGGATTGACAAATGGATGATTCGAATGGATCCGAACCTGACAGCGAAGGAAGTGTGACGTTGATGGAGCGGAGGCAAGTGTTTTACCCCAGTGTGGTTCGGATTCATCCGAACTTCACAAGGGGAAGGCCGTCTTCACCCGTGTGCTTCGGATTCATCCGAACTTCTTTTTGGTGTTCCTGGGGCCGATATTTACCGTGGCGTGCTGAACGAGGATCACAAAGTTTTCGTGCTTCGTGACCTCGACTCGTAGAGAGAGAGAGAGAGAGAGAGAGAGAGAGAGAGAGAGAGAGAGAGAGAGAGAGAGAGAGAGAGAGAGAGAGAGAGAGAGAGAGAGAGAGAGAGAGAGAGAGAGAGAGAGAGAGAGAGAGAGAGAGAGAGAGAGAGAGAGAGAGAGAGAGAGGGATTTATTGCGGGTCAACCCGAGGCGGGGGTGTGCCCCTGCTGTGCACGAAAGCTTCAACGGCTTTTCATTCCAAAAACGCATAATCGATACGTAAGAAAACTCATGGAAGAAGCTAATCGAGGGAAGGTTCTGATACATCCGAACATCCGAACTTGCCTGAGGGGCAAGATCGACGTCGTATATGGTCGGCTAATAATATCTGTCGGTGTCGGGCGGAGTAAGACCACGTCTCAGGTCCCCAGAACGTTGATGAAACAGAGGCAGATGTGTAGCCTCGTTGTGGTCCGGATTCATCTGAACTTGAGAAACGGAAGGTCGGCTTCGGCGGTGTGGTTCAGATGCATACGGATTTCAAAGCAGTGTGAACGGATCCATCCTAATTGCGCGGAAAGGAAGCCGCGATGTGGTTCGGATCAATCCGAGGTAGATGTGTGACCCTGTTGTGCTCGGACCCTTTAATGTCCATTTATTCGCATAGACGCATTATCGGCAGGCAGAAAAACCCATGTCGGAAGAGAATCGAGGGAAGCTCCGGACGCTTCCGAACTTGAAAGAGGGGCAACATCGACGTTGTGTTTCCAGCTGAGTGGGGTGTGCAAGACTGCATTGTGGTTCCTCCGACTGCTAGTGGATCCGTGGCAGATGTGTGTTCCCGGTTTGGTGCGCGGTCTCTCCTGCTGCAGAGTTCGGATGCATCCGAGCCACACTCACCTTAAACTCACAGGGACGACGACACCGCCGTGTGAAGTTCGGATGAATCCGAAGCACAGCCCGGGAACACCGGCAGCTCGGATGGATGGTATGGAGACAACAGATGATGGCGTCCTACCACCGGGTTTCAAGTTCGGATTAATCTGAACCACGTAGGCGATTGCCGGATCCATCCGTGCCACACCGACGTGCTTCGGTGCGGTTGGGATAAATCCCATAATCGCCGATGTGTTTCGGATTAATCCGAACCTGATACTCAGGAATGGTCGACATGGTTTGGTTCGGGGTGCCTCCCACTGCAAAGTTCGGATGCATCCAAGCCACACTCACAGGTACGACGACACCGCCGTGTGACGTTCGGCTGAATCCGAAGTACAACGCGGTAAAAACGACAGCTCGGAAGGCTGGTATGGCGACAACAGGCCAAGGCGTCCTTCCCCCGGTTTCAGATTCAGATTAATCTGAAGCACGTCGGCGATTATCTGAAACCCGATAATCGTCAATATGCGTCGGATTAATCCGAACCTGAAACCCGGGGGAGGTCGACATGGTTTGTTGTCGCCATGCCGGACATCTGAGCTGCCGTTATTCCCCGGCTGTGGTTCGGATTCATCCGAACTTTAGACGGTGGTGTCGTAGTCCTTCTGAGTTGAAGACGGGTGTGGCTCGGATGCATCCGGATTTGACACGGGTGGTCCGAATGCGTTCGACCACCAGAGGATGGTGTCGACACGGTATTTTTTCAACATTCCAGTTGATCCGACAGCGGTTCGTCGACAAGACCCTGTGAGCGCCGGATCAATCTGATCTTTAGAGTGTGTGTTACAAATGTTCTTTTGTTGCCGTTCGGGTTGACCCGAACCGACGATATGCACGCAGTTTTCGATTGGATGTTTTCGTATTGATGCCATTGATTGGTTGGTTTGTTGTCCACTCGTGCATTCGACTGCCCTTCGCGCTGGGGACCGAGACGAGTGCAGGATTGTGCGTTTTTGGCCATGAAACCCTAGCTTGCGTTGATCTGAACACGCCAGAATGAACCGATTCTTGCCTTCTTGACATACATGAGTTACTGCCCTCTCCCGTGGCCACGTCAGCGAAGAGTTCAACTCATTGTCTCGCGACGATTGGCTGACGGGTGGTTCGATAGGGTTCGATGAACGTGTCATATGATAGGACGGACCGTTGGTGGTCACACACGTGTCAGCGAAACTGGGGAGCAAACACGAGACTTCAACTGTTCGAGACACAAGGAAAACAACCGTCCATGTGTTGGAGTCCATTGAAACACCCCGATCACGATCATGGATGACAACGTGATGGCAAAAAGAAGATTCCATTGCCACGTGTCGACTACTTAGATGGGAAACACAAAGTTTGATCCCTGTGTGCAGAAATGGTGCACACTAACGTGCGCAGTGGAAAACCCAGGAAAAGATGTGCGAACAGGAAACGGACAAACGAGAATGTTGAAAAAAAATAACGGACGGAAAATACGAATGAACAAATCGACGAGACGCATGTATGAATTAAAGAGAGCAATCCGTGCGAAAGAAACGACAAAATCTGCCAAGATTAAGATCACGCTGGGAGCGCGTTGTGAAACAGGGGGATCCGGTTCTCTGGCATCTTTCCGTCTTTGCCATTCGCTTTCTTCGTCTTTTCGGATCTTCATTGTCATTCGCCTTCATCGTCTTATCGGTTCGTCCATTCCTCTTTCTGTCCGCTTTGTTTCGTTCTTATTGCTTCTATAAGCGCATTTTTCCTGGTTTGTCTCCTGACATTGTTTGTCTTCTTCTTCTTGGCATGCCTTTGCAGTCGTGTTATTCATCCGTCTTCGTCTTCGTCTTCGTCGGTCGTGTTTTTTTGACGTGCGTCTACTTCGCTCTTCTTTTGCATGCGTCTCTTTCGTTGTATTTAGTGTTCGCCTTGGTCAAATGCCTTGAACACAAGCCCCCGGCCACATGACCCCATCATACACCCCGATCACACATTCGAATCATGGCGAGAAATCCCGCTGCGGTCGCACGTCCAGGTTCGTCGACAACCACTCGGTCGGATCAAATGCCCCACACAAACGCCCCGATGACAAGTCCTGAACATGTGTGGGAACGCTGATGGATACCGGGTTCTACGCGAAGGAAGAATGACATGCATTTCTGGGTTCATAGAGAGAGAGAAAGAAAGATAGAGAGAAAGAGGCAATGTCCGCCTTGACCACACGCCCCGATCAGACGGGCCGATCACATGCCCCTTCCCACACCACGATCAATCCTGCTTACGGAGAAAAATTCCCGTTTCTGTCACACGTCCCGGATTGTTGAAGACCAGTCGACCCGACCGAATGCCCATCTCGCACGTCCCAATAACACGTCATAAACATGTGTGGTCATGTTCAAAAATGTTGGGCTCTACGCGACCACAGAATGGCAAGCCTTCCTACGTTGAGAGAGAGAGAGAGA